GGCACAATATTCCACACTGCAGGGCTCAACAAATGACATCTATGGGCACTTATGTTTCTATTTGCCCATCTTTTAAAACTGTAGTGTTATAAGTACTGTAGCAACATGATAGAATTTGCACACCACTTGATTACACAACAGGAAGTAGCAATTCCGGCTCTATCCTTAATAAACTCACAAAGGCCAGTGTTTATTGCTTGCTTAAAGTTGATTAATTGCTTCAAATTATTTGAAACATTACAGTCAAACAACAATGACAAAAACATTCATGTTCATCTGTAACAGGGCATAAAACGAAATTCGTGTTTCTGTATTGCTCTCTTTTTTTTGACAAGAAAAATGCATCACAGAATCTAAGCCTTAAACACTGACATTTTCCAGAAAGAATTGTTTTGTTTCAAACCTTGCACTGAATATACAGAATGAATATACAGAATGAATATTTCAGATGCCCCATTCTTGCAAAGAGACCTTTATGCCTTTCTTGATTCAATAATTCCAGTCTAAAATGGGCAACATTATGCAGTTGAGTAGCTCAGTCACAACAATGAGGGTCCTTATCATTGGCTGTGGGAAGAAAGACATTGAAAGGGTTAACAGTAATATTTTGCAAATTGAGGCAAGTAGAGAACAAACACATTAGCATAACAAAAGGTAGCCAAAGGGAATTTTTCCACTCCACTGTTTGGTACTGAGAGCCCAGTGTTACCAAGGAAGGAGGCTAGAGGAGAAAACCTTAATGTGTACACATTCTTGAAATGCATTGAAGGGACCAGCTCCCCATTTTGGCAGCCATAATAGCCGAACATGTACTTGCCTGAACTTGCCTTGGTCACTAGGAGGTCAGATGCCTGCCTCGTGGCAAGGAACCAATCAGAAGTTAGCTAGTAGGGCTATGCTTTATGGCTCTGGGTGTGCTTTACGGACAAGTGCACAGCAGAGCGGTTCAGAACATAGCAACCACCCTGGGAGGGCCTATGGGCCATAACAACCAGTTGACCAATTAACACAGGGCAAATCCTCCAAGCCTGGAGGCACACCAATCTTTAGCCTGTGTATACCCCTAGACACATCCTAGATGGATGAAAGGCCCGAGCTAACCAGCGCGTTAAACAACTGCCAATAAAGCCTCTTGCTGTTTGCATCAAGCTTTCGCCTCCACCTGGTGATTGGGGTCGCCACAGTCCTGGGCCAAAATCCTGGGGGCCTGAGCCACCAGGGGTCTTTCAAGATCACATTGTATCCATTCTACTGATTTAAAAAAAAAAAAAAAGCCCATAGTTGCAGAAATGGAAAATGTGGTAATGTGGTCCTTTCCAGTAAGGAAAGCTAAATAGATACCCTCGAAAAAGCACCGGTAAAAAACCAATCCCAAAGATCGCCTGAGTATGGCAGGGCTATACTAGAAGTGGATTGAAAATAAAGGGGGAGGTGGAAACAATGGCAATGTATACAATTAATTAAACTCAAATGTAGCAGATTTATTCCTTCAGAGAATGTGTCTAGCTTACAGTGGTTAGCTGTTATTAGCAGGCATTTCCATTTCTTTTTTATTAGGTCTACCATACCTAGACTTATTTAAACATGGTTTCATAGTACATGTTTAATTTAGACTACATTTATTAATTGAAAAATTTCAAAGAATATATAAAAATAATATTTATTAGTGGATTGTATAAAAATGTTAGATTTTTAGTTACTTATCTGTAGTTCTGGGATGAAATGTAGGACCTTGTGCCAATCAGGCAAGTATTCTACCCTTGACTAACAGTCCCAGCAACTAATCTGTAGATCAATATTTTCCTTATTATGAATAATGGACCAATATAAATGTTTTATATGATTGTGACTTCTTTTTAAGTTTAACACCTCAGTGAGCATGACTATTCAAATCTTGGTGTGTGATGGGGGATGTCCTTCTTTATGCTGTGACTATATGTTTCTTTTATTTGTTGATGAATAAATGCTGATTGGCCTGTAGCTATGCAGGAAGTATAGGTAGGGCTACCAGACTAGGAGAATGCAGGGAAGAAGGGAGAGAGGAGCCACTGGGGAGATGCCATGTAGTCGCCAACGGAGTAACATGTGAGAGCATTACAGGTAAGCCATAGCCTCATGGCAATGCATAGTTTAGTAGAAATGGGTTAATAATTAAGAGAGAGCTAGCCAATAAGAAGCCTGAGCCATCAGCCAAACAGTTTATAATTAATATAAGCCTCCGTGTGTTTATTTGAGACTAAGGGACTGAGGGACCAGGTGGGACAGAAACATCCGTCTACAGGTATGCTTTGTTAATAAATTAAAATACAAAAGGGTGAGCATATTTAATATAACATAACATTTTTGACATGAAAACTTGTAGCTCTAAGAGAAGTGAAGATATCTTCTTAGTATTGACTGACCAAATGTCATGTTTTTGTTATTAAACACTGAGTAGCAAAATATCAAAGATGATCACTCAAAGAAGTAATAAAATTACTTAAGAATTGGTGTGTAAATTTGGTTTCCAGGGAATTATGAACTAGGAATCAATGGATACCATGACCTTTCCATCGTTTGCAGATCACTACTTCCACATTGTCTGTTGACTAATGGGCAACTCTGCACTAAACTCTTATCTGATCTCTTCCTTTATACACTTGCTTTCTGTGTGTGGGGGTCACCTGAGCAAGCTTGCACATTAAGGAACTAGAACACAAACAACTAATAGGCAGGCTGGTAGCAAAGTTGTCCCAATCCAAAGTTTGGGAAAGAGGAAGAGGGACAATGTGAGAACACCAGGGTTGCCAATTGCTGCTGAAGTATCTTGGTTGGTGCTAATTTTTGAGCTGTTATGAACTTGGCACACCCTGTCAATAAAATTTTTTTAAATGCATTTCAAAGCAGAAGTGAAATACTTTTTGATATTTCATGTTGTAGTTTTTCAACCATAATACAGAAAACTGAGAAATGATTGTAGCTCTAAACCCCTCTGAAAATGAACATGACACCCTTGTTTCCCAGCTTCTTTATAAGATGGGGAAAAGGAGTTAGAACATAGTGATCATTCATTCAGGAATAATACATCATTCAAGTGTACACGGGAGGGTGTGGGATTTCATGCTTTTTTTTTTAAATGTGAAACTGATATTTCTCAACTATCTGAGTTTTCAGATCTGTTGCAGGAATCTAAAGCCAGCTCTTTCCGACTGCATTGTCACATTTGCTAACTCTGAAGAGCCTTCAGCTGCCCACATAAATGATGACTGACAGTCCACAATGCTGCTTCCTTACAGAGTCATAAAGACATGGGACCCTGGCCAGTCCCCCAGCCTTTGGGCAGCTCTTTCCATTCACACAGAGAGAGTGGAGTTCTTAGTGACAGCTTCCTCTCAGGTTAGAAAGCAACAGTGATCATCTCCACTCATTTTCTTTTTATAAGTTTTAAACATTTTTATTCATTCTTTGAAATTTCACATCATGCACCCAAATCCCACTCATTTTCAAGTCTCTCCCTATCTGCCAATCACTCTTGTAGCATACCCACCCCCCAAGGAAAATTTAAAAAGAAATAATAAAAATTAAAAAGTACAAATACAAATAAGAATATTAAACAAAAAACCAAAACCAACCAACCAAACACTTTGCTCCTCCATCTTTCCTGCCTTTCCATTGCCTTTCCGTGTTTGGTTGCATTGGGAGCTGCTGTGTATCATGCAGTATTCCCTTTTGTCCAAATAGCTTTACTTGGAAATGTTCATTGTGTAATATGTTGTTGGTCTGGTTCAAGGCCTTTGGCTTCTGGTCTACCAACAACACTTAGACCCTCACTGAATTGCCTCAGATATCCTTCCATTGCCCCAGTCACAGAGATCCTGTAGCTATGGTTCCACAGGATCAGTCCCTTCGTGTGCTTTGTCTAGGAGGTCATAGATGGTGTGCCAATTCAAAGCCCTGGATGTGTGTCTAGATGGTAGCAGAGTTGGTTAGCCTGGAGTGTTGGAACCACCCCCCTCCGCTAAGGGGGCAGAGCCAGCTCTCTCACACCCATGGTAGGGGGTGGGGCCAGCTCAGCAAGGTCCTAGTACTTCAACACATTGTTCAACACTTGGTTTGCATGGGTCCCAGTGGCAACATGGACAACGGACATCAACACAGACCCCAGGTGCATCAGGACCACGGAACTAGACATGACCAGCAGCAGCAGCTTGGGCCCAGTTGTCTCCATGGCTCTGAGTGGCAGCTCAGGCCTCTCAGATCCAAATGGGCTCAGCAACAACATGGTCCCTGGACTCCAAATTGGCCCCAGGGGTTGGCCCAGACCCTGAGCAGCCACATAGCCCTCAATGGCAACAGGAGCAGAGCCACAGACATCAATAAAGACCCTGGCTGTGGCAGGACAGCAGACCCAGGCACGACCCCCAGCTACGAATTAGTTCCTGTCACTATGGCCACAGGTAGTGCAGGCCACTCTGATCTGTTTGGCCCTGGAGGCAGCCTGACTCTTAGGCACCAAAATGGCCTCAGGTGTGAGCCCAGACCCTGGGCATCTAAACAGCCTTTAGTGGTAACAGAAGCCACGAACATCAACTTGTACCCTGGCTGTGGTAGAACCATGGACCCAGACTGGCCCTCAGGTCCAGACACCTCCATGGCCTTTGACAGCAGCGCAGGCCTGTATGTCATCATGGCCCAGGGTGACAAGCAGGACACCCACATTAGCCTGGTTCTTACCTTCTTCACCTCTTCAGATGAGCCATTCTGCCTCTCTTTAACTCCCACACACAACCACATAGTGGCTCACCATAATGGTGACTGCCCAGTCAGTCCATAGATTCTTCTGACTTGTCCAGGGCAAGCAACCCCGGGTGCGTGGTATCCATTGATTTTCTTTTAGCTGGATTTATCACTCCTACTCCATTTTTCAACCTGATTTCCCTTACAGGAGAACTATAGATGTTTAGACATGTGGTCCCTATCTACCAAGGAATAACACTGAATTAGTTTTTCTCCTTTTGCAGCTTGAAGACGTAGCTGTTCTTGCGATTGGAAAGATAAGCCATCGTTATCAAAACCCATGGTAAGTACCCATGAATGTGTTTTAAATTAGTTAATAGGCTTCTTTTATAAGTTAGAGACAGCTTATTTTCCAGTTTTGAAAATTACACTATCATTTTATTTTTATTGCTTCATATTGATTTGTGTGGGAGGTAAAACCACAAATTTTTATTTCTAATTAAGAATAAATTTTACTTTCTGCCAGTCTAATTAGGGAAAGGGACAGAACAAAGTAGCATAGTAAAGAACATGCTAGATGACAGTGAGGTAAAGAGATGTCAACCTGCAGCTATTAGGACTGGACATTCCAGCCTCCACTAGATGATAGGACAGACTTAGTAGACTTCCTAGGGGAGGCCTTACCTCTCTGTGGAGCAGATGGGAGGAGGCAGGGTGGAGGGAGTGGAAGGAAAGAAGGGAAGGGGAACTGGGATTGGAATGTAAAAAAATTAATTAAAAAGTCAAAAAAGATTATGATGAGCACATTCATTTTAACTTTGTAGATATTCTTTCTTTAGGAATATGTATCTATATCTACCTATTAGTTAAAAAGACTTTATTTCATGCTGTTGGCCTAGACACCACGATAATATGTAGCCTTGATTAATAAACATAATCCTGACAAAGTTACATAATGGCTTGAATTCATGTTGCCTTAAAGTAACCACTAACAAAAGTTAAACGCTGTAGCTCCAGGTGGATTAAATTATGGGGAAAGAGCCAACACTGGGCTCTTATTTAAATGGAACACAATCCAGATGCTGGAAGGAGCAGGTCAGACTAGAGATGTAATAGTATTATCTCTATGGATTTGTGGGGGTGGGGCTTGGGAAAGGGGCACTGCTTTTTTTCCAGTTTTCATTCTTGAAGGATACAGCTTATTACCATATACAAAAATATTAGACTTTGTCTCTTCTACTAACATAAAATATATCACATGGCAGAGGCAGGCGGATCTCTGTGAGTTCGAGGCCAGCCTGGTCTACAAGAACTAGTTCCAGGACAGCCTCCAAAGCCACAGAGAAACCCTGTCTCAAAAAACCAATATATATCACATAAAAAGCAACTTCAAGCCCCATTGTCTAAAGCTCACTGGGTGGCAGCTGGAAATATGGCTTCCTGCTCTTGTAGAGGACCTGGGTTTGGTCCCTAGCACCTACATGGTGGCTCACAACCATCCATAACTTCAGTTCCAGAAGATTTGAGGCCCTCTCTGACCTCCACAGGCACTAAGCATGAGCATGGTTCTCATACATACATGCTGGCAAAGTATGCATATACATAAAATAGAATCAAATATTTTCAAAAGCCTATCAGGTACTGTCCAGAAGATCTCACTGGGTAACATCTGTGACTTGCTAGGCACAGCTCCTGCTCCTATGTAAAGCCACATAGAAAGAGTTACACTGCATTGCATGAAAAGCACATGTTCTATATGAAAAATTCCTTTGTTTGAACAGCATTGCTTACATCTACTGTAAATACTTTATCAACTCCTTCTCAGCAACAAAAACAGAGAGAGGCTAGTGGAAATTAGGACACCTTTAACAACTCTTGATGATAAAAGTGTGAATGTGCTATACTCTTTATAAACACCTTCTTAGAAAGTATCCGAGAAACATTGAAGCTGTGAATGTTTTTCCTAGAGAGAAAAGGTTACCTTTATTTCTAGGGACTATTCAATGGATAGTAACAAGTCATAAGGATGCAAAATGTTTATGGAAAAAGTCCTTGTCCTTAGGGGATTATGAATTAAGTTGGGAAACTGAGCATAAACTTAAGAAGGAAAATACCAAAATCAATCTGCCAGTGTGACCACTGTTAGTCAGTTTTCTGTTACTATGACAAACACCTTAGAGATACTCAAATTCAAATTATGGATAGAAAATATTCTTTCTGGCTCAGAGTTTTAAAGGTTCTAGTACATGGTCAGTTAGACTTGTGGCCTTTAGGCAAAGCTATATAACATGGTGGAAAATTTTGTGGTAGAGCAAAGGCATTTACCCAATGAAAGAGAGAAAAAAAGAACTAGGGTCCCAAGATCCAGGTTAGGGCATACATCCCATGGCCAGAAGATGACTTATGAGATTCTAGATGTTACTGTTTTTCTGCTTTTCTCTTTCTCTCACTTCTTTCCCTTTCTTCTTCCTCTTCTCTCTCCTCCTCCTCCTCCTCCTCCTCCTCCTCCTCCTCCTCCTCCTTCTCCTCCTCCTCTATTTTTGGGATCCTAGAAACCAAGTCCAGGGTCTTAACCATGACCTCACTTTGTACCACTGAGTTATATATTTACCCAGACCCTTAAAGGCTCAGGCACCTCACAGACTGGGGCCTTGGGGATGCTCATTTAAACCATAGCAAGTGCGAATTAATAAATAGGACCAGAACCAGAGAATTATAGAGAAGTTGAAATTGCTTTAAATGTTGGTAGTTTCTAGATTCTTCTATGACCTGTAGGGGATGTCCTGATTCTAACAAGTGCCTTAGAAGATGCTTCTGTCCTGTGTGACATGAAACACATGCCCTGCTTAGAAACATTTCTGCCTCCAGCCAGTTTCCATGCTCTGTTTTTCTAGGACAGCAGTAGTACCCAGATTCAGCACTTACTCTGTTGAAAGTCCACTAGAGTCCATAATCACAGCAGTGAACAAGCGAGGGTTAGTGTATACTTTCCTTGTAATGTGAATTCTAGAGGATGAGGGAGCATTAAAAGAACTATATGGCTTAAAAAAAACAAACGCAACATTCATGCTTTTTGGTTTTTTGGTGTTTCTGGTGCTGGGGAACAAACATACTTTTAAGTTTTCTTAAAACATTTTTTAACCTTAATTTTTATTTTATATGTATGGGTGTCCTGCCTGTATGTATGTTTGGTGCACCATGCACATGCCTGGTACATGACAAAGCCAGAACAGGGCAACTGATACAGAACTGGAGTTACTGAGAGTTGTGAGCTGTTATGTGGGTGCTGAGAATTGAACTTGGGTCCTCTCGAAGAGTAGTCAGCTCTTAATCACTGAGCCATCATTTCAGTCTGAGACCACTGTAAGTTTGTTCAGCTCGAGTTATCTAGTGAGTGTCAAGACAACCAAGGCAATGTAGCAAGATACTGTTTTAAATACAATCAAGTGGGTTAGGGAGAGAAAAAGTTAAAAGGCGTAGCAGGGCATTTCTGTTATATCTGGCATATCTGAGAAGTGGAGGTCATGTCAAGGTCACTCTTTGATACATAGCTAGTTTGAAGCCAGTTTGGGTGACAGAAAAGCCTGTCTCAAAAAACATTATAATCCTAGTTTGTGATATAAAATCTCACTCCAAAAAGTATTTACGAGGACCTTTCGGCAAGAACCTGGGCTATTGAATGCATTAGCACAGAACACAACTTACTGAATAGAACACCAATAGTGCAGACACTAAGACTGACAATTAATAGTACCTCACGAAACTGAAAAGTTTCTGTAAGTCAAAGGGCACAGTCAACAGGACAAAATGACAGCCTACAGAATGTGAAATGATCTTCACCAACCCCATATCTGACAGAGGGCTGATCTCTAAAATATACAAGCAACTCAAGAAGCTAGTCACCAAAACACCAAGTAATCCAATTAAAAAATGGGGTTACAGACCTAAACAGAGAATTCTTAACAGAAGAATCTCAAATGACAGCGGAAACACTTAAAAGAAATCTTCATCATCCTTTGCCATCAGGGAAATGCAAATCAAAAGGACCCTGAGATTCCATCTTACACCTGTCAGAATGGCTAAGATCAAAAACACAAATGATAGTTTGTGCTAGAGAGGATGTGGAGCAAGGAAAACACTCCTCCCTTGCTTGTGGGAGTATAAACGTGTACAACCACTTTGGAAAAATCAATACGGTGGTTTCTCAAAAAATTAGGAATCAATCTACCTCAAGACTCAGCAATACCACTCCTGGGCATATACCCAAAGGATGCTCAATCATACCACAAGGATACTTGTTCAACTGTGTTCATAGCAGCTTTATTCATAATAGCCAGAAACTGGAAACAACCTAGATGCTCCTCAACTGAAGAATGAATAAAGAAAATGTGGCACATTTACACAATGAAGTATTACTCAGCTGTTAAAAACAACGACATTAGGAAATTTGAAGGCAAATGGATGGAACGAGAAAAGATCATTTGAGGAGGTAACTCAGACCTAGAAAGATAAACATGGAATATACTCACTCATAAGTGGATATTAGCTGTAAAGGATAACCATGCTACAGTCCACAGACCCAGAAAGGCTAGTTAACAAGGAGGGTCCAAGAGGGGGATGCATGGATCTCCCTAGGAAGGGGAAATAGAGGAGATTCCTAGATGGACTGAGGGCAGGGGGATATGAGAACCTGACAGATAAGGTTGTGGATGGGTGGAGGGGGAAAGTACTGAGATAGATGACTGGAAAGGGGGCTTTTGGGGGTTGGGTAGAAGCCTGATGCAAGGGAAACTCCCAGGAGTCTACAAGGATGGCACCAGCTAAGACTCCTTGTAGTAGTGGATGCAGAGCCTGAACTGGCCTCCCCTATGATTCAATTGGTGACCTACCCAGGTTGTCATTGGAGAGCCTTCATCCAGTGACTGACAGAGGCAGATTCAGAGGCCCACAGCCAAACATTGAACCAAGGGGAGGTGCAGCTTGATATGCCATGCTTTGCTGATACCCATGGATGGCCTGTCCGTTTCAGAGTGAATACAGAGAGGTAGATTGTGGGGAGGCATGGAGGGAGGCAGAGGGGAGATAGAAGGAGGGAGTAGGATGTGAGGAGGGAAGGGAGACTGAGGTCAGGATGTAAAATAAATAAATTAAAATTTTAAAATGTAAAAAAAAAAAATCTGGGCTAAGAGTCAAAGAGTTAAAGGCTTCCTGAAGAAGTGAACTGACACTGCTTTGAATAAAGTCCGTGTTGGTTATTCCAGGAATGCTTTTCAGTACACTTATCTTGTTACAATTTATCTTGTCTCATTCATAAGTTTATGTACAATATGAATCTAGTCTGTT